TCATTTGGGGAACTCATTCCAAAATCAGTTAGTTCTACTTCAATTCATTTTTAGTTAAAGTTTATATGTAGATTAGTCTATTTTTTAGAACTTCTATAAAGAGCCTTTATTGGACATTTATTATTATGACTGGCAATGCTAAAATTTTTTTGAAAACCTCCTTATTTTTTAATTCAAAGGAAATTAAAATAATGTATTATAATTTTCCTTCAATCAAGAACTATAAAATAAAATTTGATAATTCTGAAAAGTGCTTTTTTATATTTCTGGTATTTATACAATTACAATTAATTACAAGTTTAAGATTAGAATTTTTGTGGATTTTAATACCACCAACTTATGTATTTAAGCTTAAGAATGATTTTATTGAGAATTTCAGCGATAACGGTGATTGATGATATTAATAGTATAAGCAACAGTATAAGTGCTAGAATGATATTTAATAGTCATTAATATTTGCTTTTGTGACATTTCACATATATAAAGCATAATTTTACATTTATATTGTTTTACTAAGCATAATCAGCTACAATAAATTTAATTTAAAATGTTACAAGTACTACTCTTATACAAGTATTTCCAAAAAAGTATGTATAAGTATCGTAAGAAGGTATTTGTTTTTCACAAGTTACTGATTTCATATCATTATTTAATTGAAAACTTATTAAAAAGTGAATCTTTACTTGTCCTATGTGGGAAACTTTTCAAAATTGAGATGAAAAATAAATAATGAAGTCAAATCACAAAAACTTTTTTCTTGTCAGTATATGTTTCAAACAACATTCTTTAGAGGAATCTAAAAATTTAATAAATTCATTTTAATGGAATCTGAGTATTAATCTATTAAATGAAACCTTGTTTTACGACCACTTTTTGCGTTAAGATATGATTTAAATTCAATTTGTTTTTACAAATGTATTTTTTTATAACATGGCCTTCAAATAAGCTGATAATTGTTCAGTATTGCTAGTGCAATTTAATTCTGATTAAAGTTAGTAAAAGCTTGATTGAGATTTACTCTCTTAAAAGTATGAATGTTTAAATGGATAATGTTATAATTGTGATTCAGAATTTATGGAGATGGATCACTTTCAATTTTAGAATAATGTAATGACGATAATTAAATTAATGGAGATTGATGTTCTAAAACATGTGAATTAGAATTTAATTATATTTGTAATTTAGATGAATTTTGTGTATATATTGAGTATCCAATCCCAATTATTGAATATTATAAATATAATAATTAATTTCATTATGTTGAAATGATATTCTCATAAAAGGTCCAATAAAAGTAAAATTTGGAGTACAAAGATACAATTTAATTAAGAATCATTGATTTGGATTAGCATCTATTTTAAATTATTATTTTAGAAACTTAGCCTGATAATGTTAAATATAAAATGGAGAATAAATATTTTAAAATTGAAATTTTGACTCATCAACTAAATTATCCGATTTTGGAAGTGCTATTGACTGAATAGTTATATAATTAGAATTAGCACCAATACTTCTTCTAGTCAAATATATATAATTGAATTAACCCAATGAAATTAGCGAAGAAGATAAGATGATAGAAATTTTATTTCTAATAGGCAATCTTACTTCTTTTTAAATGATTTTGGATGCTTTAATATTAAGCATATCAAAATATATCAATTCTTTATTTCCTTAAACATTAATATAATACTTTGGATCAAGAGATGCTGTATAAATCTTTTCTTTTAAATTATATCAATGCAATAAAAATTTAATCTCCTATTTAAAATATAATCCAATTTTACTCCAATTTTTTTATCAAAAATCATGAAAATTTGAGTGTTCTGGTTTATAAGAAGAAAAATATTTTTTTACCTAATATTTAAGAGATCATCAGGAGTCACTTTACCTTTAATCTATTCCTTAATGTTTAATGGGTTATGGAACTAAAAGCTTCACCGATGTTTATAAATTGATTTTTGTCTTACTGCTTTAGCTCATCTTCAAAGGAATAAATAGTTTAAATTTTCATCATAGGAATGCTTTTCTTAAAATGAATAAAATTAGTTCCAAGTATTGATCTAAGTTCAGAATGAACTAGTGAGCCCATATTTGAATTCTTCTGATTTTTTGAACAATATGAAGACTCTGATTGAAAAAATAAGTTAAATTATGATATTTTAAATTCAAAATCTAATTACTTTTATATATTCGAAAAAAATTCAATTATATTCATCTTAATTAAAAAGAAAAAAAACTCTAGCCCAAAAAAAATATATCCATTTAAAAAAGCCCTGTTCGCCCTAATTGGAGT